ATCAAAAAAAAAAAAAAAAAGGGGGCACGAGAAGCACGGCGTTGTTTTCAACTTCGCCCGCAATGGTGCAGATCTTCAACCGGCAGAGAAGAGGAAGTGGGTCATTGAAACGATCAGAAAAGAGCTGAAAATAAAGCAGTCAGGAGAAACTTTCACTCTGCAAAATCTGGGCAGAAACAACATAATGGCGTTATTCATTCAAGAAGATCACGCGAAGGCTGCGGCCGATATGCAATCCAGAAACTGCAATGGATCTGTATGCACAATCAACAGATGGAAGAAACTGACTGCCCAGCGACAGAACCTGGGATTTGCAGTGTCCTATAAACAGACTCTGCTAAAGGAAAACTTCTGGGTGCAGTTTGACAACATCCAACCGGGATTCCACGGACTGTTAGTGGATAGGCTGGAAAGACAATACACAGCGAACAGGATCCTTAAATGGATCCTGCCAACACCCGATTTCTTGGCCCCGCATTGCGGGTCTATGACAGCTGTATTGGAAGTCAAAACTGAAAACCCCCCAGTATTCCCTCATACATGGAAACTGCAAATTGAAAACAGAATCGTGGAGATCAAGGTGTCAACCAAGACCTCCCCGGTCTGTTTCCGATGCAGGGAACGGGGACACATGGGAACAGACCCCAACTGCCCAAAATTCCCGAAGCAGCCAAAAGAGCGCAAACTTCTCCCAAATATGTTGGTCGAAGTAGAGGATGCCCCGGGAATATGGTTCATCGCTGACAATGCCTATGACGGCTAGGTCTTTGACGACAACCTCGACGAACCAGACTGGGTGTGGCACTACGCAGATTTCGAGACATTGGTTAAAAAGCCGAATATTTTCCCCCCGGCAGACAACAGATGGCAAAAAAAAGCAACGGGGAAAGTGACAGGCAATCCTGCAAAGATCACCATTGACCCCTTAATAGACTCTCGGGTGATCAGGGAAGAGAAGGACCGAGAAGATCTGCTGTGGGATTTGGATGCCGTCAGAGAACAGGCAGTTTCAGAATTCAACAAGGAAGCAACTAACTTCCGGAGCATGCTTAAGAACATGGAACAGTTCGCGCTCAGATCTAAAGAAGGACCACAAACAGACAACAAACGAACGTTGGACAAGGAAAAAGGACAAGATCCGACGGAAGGGGGGCTCAAGAAGAAGAGGGCAGTGGAAGCAGAAGGAGGAGAAGGATTGAGAAGCACCCCCGCAAATCAAAACAGCGAAGGAAAATCCGGGGTTGCCCAAGAGATCGCCCAGGAAACTGAAACAGGCAAGGGAACAAAAGGCAGCAACCCAGACACAACAAGCTCATCTGAGGACATCGAGAGTGGATCTATACGCTCGCTGCAATGACTCAGAAAATATGTGGAGAAGGTTAAAAGGGAAAGAGAACACGCCTTTGATGTTCGGGTAGCATGTTTGAAACACTCAGAGAAGTCGTAGAGAATGGGAAAAAAAAGTCTGACTGGTGGAATAGGAGGCTCCAATAACCAGTTTGAGGCCCTCAGAAACGTCAAACCCAAAGAACTGTCTGAATACACAGCGTTCAGATATGCAGAAAAGAAGAGGGTTAGAGAGCAAGGACTGCAAGACGAAGACAAAACCTCTCCCAACTCCAAGGATGAATTTCAGGATCTGCGCCCAAAAAAGTGGAAGTCAGGTAAGAATCAGAAGAAGAAGGGAACTGATGTTGGAATGGGTGTATAAGAATGGGAGTCAGAACGTACCTTGCTGGAAAAAGAAGCAGTTGTGGTACTGGCTCAAACAGACAAACTAAGAAAGTTGAATGAAGAATATGCCCCCGAATTCACGAACATCACGCATATAGCCAATGGGGAGGCGCCATTAGTGGTGGAAACTGCCAAATCATCACGTCTAACGCTGATGAATATCCGGCCATTGATTGCAGCAAGGTATCTCGAAAAGGTGGGAGAGTGGCAGATCGCAACGGTCGTATCCTTTCAGATACCAACTTTCGAAGAAGGCCAGAACATAGCGGATATCCTCAGGAAGAAAGTGACGGATGAGTCCCCTCTGGGAGTATTTGACTTGGTCCCAGATGAAATAGGGACAAAAGATAACCCCCTCAGAACAAAAATGGAGGTGGGCTCTGAACGAAGAAGACATTCACCACAAGCCTTTTCACCACTGATTGTCAAACTGCCAGAATCTGCACAACTGCGATCAGGTATGAGGTGGAGGACCTAGCGTACAATCACAACAGTACCCTATAGTGTTCTTACAGGATTGAGCCTGCCGGCGGAATTGACAGCGGTCTCGGTCGCTCTCCTGGTCGACACAGGGATGCTAGATGGGGATGGGGACCTGGACTCCAGAGCATATCCCACTGATTGGGAAAGATTCTACAGGAGTGACGTGTCGGACAATGAATCTCTGGGCTGGCAGACCGACGATGACAAAGACGAGGATGAAGAGAACCACGGGCACAATGCTAGTAAGGACAGTGAGGGACTGTTCAAGATGGGGGAGACAGGAGGGTCCTCGCAGGCCGGACCGGAAGGCGACAGGGAGGGACTGGACCCGGGAGATCACCCAAATGGACTGGACAAGGAAGGGATCACCCCTTCGTAGACTGGAGTACCGCATTTCTTGACAATTATCGATCCAAAATAAACAGGTAGATGGAAGAGTTTAGGGAAAAAGCCAACATAAGGGGACATCAGGGGGAATGGAAGAATCAAGGAWTTGTCATCCGGAGCTGGAACATAAATGGTTTGGGGAACATCATAGAAAAGGAGGACAAACTCAACGACATAATCAAAGGTTTGACGGCACAAGAAAAAAAAACAGCCGACATCATAATACTATAGGAAACTCACCTCACGCTCTCTCCTGAACACAACAGAATCAAGAAGCTTCTAACAAGGAAACTAGGAGGAGTAAAAGACAAAATATGGGCGGCTGATAGCGCGTCAAGCACGAAAGGAACAACTATTCTGATTCCTAATTCATCTCGCCTTCATATAGCTGGAGGTGTTCTAGACAAAAAAGCAGACCCCAACGAGGGAAGGTGGTGCTCTATGCACTTAAAATGGAAGGAAGAAGAATTCATGTCGTTCAACATCTATGCTCCCAACAGCCCAACGGAGAGAGCCGCCTTTGTGACAAGCCTGGGAAACATGATCCCTCCGCTCACCCAGTGTATATTGGCCGACGGCTGGAATGTCACCCTTGACCCAGTAACAGATCGTATCTCCCGATCCTCCTACATCTACAACACTCAAGAGGCGACACCGATACAAAATTTGATGCTAGAACATAGCCTGATAGAACCATTCAGAACTATGCATCCCACGTCGACAGCCTTCACACTAGTCAAGAAGAACCACATCAACCATACGGCCTTCTCATGCATTGACTACTTTCTAATCTCCGAGCAAATGATGGGAACGATCAAAAGCGCAAAGATACTACCACTAGCACCATACTCAGGCTTAGACCACAAACCAATCGAACTGACGATAAGTTTCGAGCAGTTGATAAAGAAAGGAGCCAGTTTTCACAAACTAAACAACCCGCACGGATTATATCGAATCCGGCACGCGGCGCCAAGCGGATTCTCACACCGAACAGTTATGGGTCTGGCACTGAACGTAGAATCGCGATACGGTCGGCGTTGCGGAGATGCGCGGAAGGGCCTCGCGCCCGAGCATACGATGCATTGAGCGTCGGCTCGCTCAAGGGCCTGAGTCAAGCCTTAGGAACACGCAACTTCGTAGCAACTCACCACATCGCATCGAGAAAGCTATCGGGGGGGCATAGGGGCTCAATATGGGTTAGACTAGGTCGACGCCTTTATGTCGAGCCTTGTCCTCTTTCTGTTTTCTTATGGTTGGACGTTGTAGTCCGTGGCAGCCGTCAAAGTCAAACCCCTTGACTTCTGCCACCACAGGCGTAAAACCTGTGTACCACCCACTCTGCACAGGGTGCAGAAGAGGGTGTGTGGTCTTCAACCGCGCATGGCGGTTGTCTAGCACAGAGAGATTAACCCTTGAAGCGCTTGTCAGCCGACACTTGAGTGTCGAAAGGGACCCTCAAAATCCCTGAGGGCCTCCTGGACCTGGGTACCACATAGTACCCCATTATTGCAAACACTTGTAAGCGCACGCATGACTAGCTGGAATGAGAAATCCGTGCGATCGCGCGATTCTTTATACTAAATCAGCATGCGACGCCTACCTAATCTTTGTACCAAAAGGTTATGGGTCCAGTACTAAAGGGACTGGGAGTGTTGTGTTTTTTCTTTTGCTTTGGTGCATGAGTGTGTGAATGTGGGTTACTTAAATTTTGCTTTAAGTGGTGTATTGCGTGGTGTGCGTAGAGCGTCCTAGTCGACCGACGTCAAGTCGAGCTTGGGACCTCAGCCCCCCAGTGTCGTCGATTTGCGTACGGGTCCGATTTCGGGCGTTGACTACGCGTACCCTATGCTACAGCGAACGAGAAACGCCCTCGGCTGGGCCACCTCTGCAATTGCATTATAAAAGCCTTCGCATGTGGTTAAGTAGCTCGGCGGGGATACGCCCACCTAAGGGATGGTGACAGCTCCCGCTGGTGGAGGTAGCGGTGCCTTGCGTGGCTCTGTCCTGTCGTAGGGGCGCGTGAGAGGTACGGCTGTCGCACTCGGTCGGAGCGGCAAACACGGTCATCCGCAATAAGTCCTGCATAATCCTGTGTGACGCGGCCGGGAGGGTCCCCGTGCGGGACCGATGCGCTCGACAGGTGGCGCCGTTGCTGGGGATCAGGCGGTTTGTTTGGGATCATGTGCAGGACTTGTGTCAAGTCCTGGACTTGCTACAAGAGCATAACCTCACTGCAAGTGGGCCGAAATCCAAGCACTGTATGCGAGGAGCGACTATCTTAGGATTTGTGTGCGACGAGAAGGGTCGTCAGCCAGATACTAAGAATACCAATAAGATTCTCGAATGACCAACCCCATTCGAGACGATTACTGAGGTGAGAAGCTTCCTCGGAACGTGTGGATTTTAGAGAATATTTATAAAAGGGTTTGCGACGAAGACGGAGCATCTGCGAAAGCTCGTGCGCCAAGGACAAGATTGGGAGTGGGGAGATAGACAGGAGTCTGTGATAAAGGATCTGAAGAAGGAGTTTGAAGAAGGAGGACTGGTATTGGGAGTACCAGACCATGSGGCTGTTATGACCAGRCYYTTTATCATAGAGACARATGCAGGACCGRCCGCTTTGGGAGGAGTTTTGATCCAGAAAGACCTCAATGGAGAGGAGCGACCGCTAAGATTCGAGAGTCGAACGCTTAATACGGCTGAGAGAAACTACTCTCAGTTCAAGCGCGAAACCTTGGCAGTCCTCCACTGCTTGAGAATTTTCAGAAACTACCTCTTTGGCAACAGGTTCGTGTTGAGGGTGGACCCAACCGCTCTAGCTGGTTTGCTGAAGAACTACGCTCCCTCAGATCCAACCATTGCCAGATGGTTGACGTACATCTGGATGTTTGATTTTGAGCTGGAGCGGATTCCAGGGAACAAAAATAGGGCGGATGGGTTGAGTCGAGTCGACTGGGGCAAGAACAGCGAAGGAGTGATCGAGGATACTACCCCAGTCGACAGGTTTTTGGAGAATGAGGAGGATGTGAGACTTCATATCAACTCTTGGTCTTTGGCGGTAGGTAACTACATTACTCCTGGACGGCAGGTGTGGATGACACCTCCAGGGTATGCATGCTTGCCAAACTTAGTCCTTAAACCCTATGTGGAGGAGGACTCATGGGGGATGCCGGATGTGCAGTGGATGATGGATCTGGCCTTGGCAGACAAACACCAGTTGGGTGAGGACCTGATCACGATGGAGGATGAAACCCGACATGTGGAGGATCATGAAAGGTCTATAGGAGGGGTTTACCTCCTGGCCAATGCCTTGTTGCAGGAGGAAGTGACCAGAAACGCTGGGCAGGATCAGGAAAGGGGCAAGAATGTGATCTATGAGAGGGAGGACGATGATTTCGAAGAAGGCGAGATTAAGGAGGCTTTTCGAGCAGAAGAGTATGATGGGGTTTATCTTGAACTCGGAATGCTTCTTTCGTGCGAAAGGAGAGAAAGAGATGCCAGCGAGAAAGTCTTGAAGATGAGACCGAGCTTTCTTGTAAGGGATGGGCACCTGTTCATGAAGAGCAAGGGGAGGAATCCCAGGAAGGTAGTTTGTGGCATCGCTCGTCAGATCGATGTCATGGCCGCCCTGCACGACGGCACAGCTGGAGGGTACAGGAGTACTGACACAACGTATCTCAAGATACATGAATTGTACTATTGGGATGGCATGGGGAAAATGATCAATGATTATTGCAAATCTTGCGTCCCATGTCAGGAGCGATCTTCCCTTAGGCCAAGGGAGCCGCTTCACCCAAGATACGTTCGTGAGGTTGGAGCCGTCGTACATCTGGACCTGCTAGTAATGTCGTCGGGGATAGAGGGATTTAACTTCATCTTTGATTGATGCACGCGATAACCTCTCTGGGTTTGTGGACGGAAGGGCTATTCGCACTAAAAGCACTCTTGAAGAGGTACGGGGTGATTGCTGAGTATACTACTGCAGCACACCCTCAAGCAAATGCACCGATGGAGAGAGGACACAACACCATCTCAAACCTTCTGGCAAAATGGACCAGTGGGAGTCCAAATCGGTGGCCAAATTTTTTTAGAGTGGTTTTTTTTGTAGACAACATCACCGTGAGGAGGAGCACCGGTTATGCGCCAGCCACGCTATGGTATGGCAGGCATGCAACGTTCCCTATCGAGAGCTTCCTGAAGACATGGAGGCGGCAGGACCTCGAGTCAGAGTTGACGTTCGAGGAACTGCTCGATTTAAGGGCRCGTMAGATTGGAGCCATAGAGGATAGGATTGAAGGAGCGGCGAGTAAGGTGGCATATAACCGGGCACAGGATAAGTTCAGGTGGGACAAGATGGCAAGAGTGAGGAAGGAGCCACTCAAGGTGGGAGACACGGTGCTGTTGTACGACTCATCCCTGGAGAAACAATGGTCACGGAAGTTCGATAAGCGGTGGTTGGGACCGTACAAGGTGGCAAGAGTTGGAGAGCATGGCGCGTACCAGATTGAGGAGATAGATGGAACAGCCTGGAGAGATTGGGTGTCAGGCTCGAGACTGAAGAAGTTTGTTGCTCGAGATGAGGTGAGCCCAAATCTCACAGGCTAGAAGTCCTTTCCTGCTAAGTATTTTTCGCTTAATAGAGATATTAGTTAGGTTGTATAGATAGTCGCTAGGATGGCCTGACAGACTATAGAATTGGAACAGGTGTTTATGTGTATGTATGCATATGCAGATGGATAGGTTAGGTGGGATGGGATGTGTATGTCTCTCACTGTGTTGCCAAAACCTGCTTACTCTCTGTGTGTTTTTGCTTGTCTCTTCCTTGTTGTGCAGGCTTGACACCACTTTGGCGCAGCCATGCCAAGCGGGAAGAGAGGGGCAGGGCCAGTGGAACCCCCTCAGGGGACAGCCAGACAGAGTGCAGACATGGGCCATAAGAGAAGACATGCCACCCATCTTCACAGGAGGGAACGTCGAACTATTTCTGATCGAGTTCCAACGGCACGCGAGCGAGTTTGGATGGGATGGAGTGAGGATGTTGCAAAAGGGCGAATGGGCTGAGCCCATTGCCAAGTACGTGCGGGAGTCAGCGACCTGGACGGAGTTCGAGAGGAGAATGGAGGGACTACACCCATCACTCGTGGGGAGAGATGGAGTACCGATCCGATTTGATGGGATGAACGTGGATGAGTTCCTGTGGGCATACGAGCGTTTTGCAGATAAGCAAAACATCGCACCAGAGGGAAGGATGACAGGATTCATCCAGTTCGTAAGGAGGTCCATCAGACAGTTTGTCAAGAGCGTTGTGGAGAGGGCTGTGCACTGGGGGGATTGCAGGCGATTGTTGAGGGGCTACTACACTCCAGCGCGCCAGGCAGAGGAAAGGAGGAGTCTAGAAAGGAAAAGGAAGGAACCAGAGGCTGAGGGTAGAAGGACCTTCGAGAGAGGTGCCTCGTCCAGATCTCAGGAGGGTGAGAGGAGAAGGGAGCATGCCACCCGCAGGATGGAGAGAAGTGGGGAGCTGCCAGCTGAGAGGAGTCAAAGGAGGAAAGAGTCAGAGGTGCCTGAGGCTCCTCCTCAGTCTATTCAGAGGCCAAAGGATCAGTCTATGGCAGAAGTAAGACAGGAGGCACCTCGTGAGCTGACAGAACAGAGGATGGATGAGGACCAGGATGAGAGAGAAAAGGAGTTGGACAGACAAGAAAGGGCCGCTAGAGAACGGGAGATCAGAGCAGAAGTCAGGAGGAAGAACCTAGAGGAACTCCACAGGAGAGTGGAGCAAGGACAGCGGCCGGTGGACTTTAAGGACAAAAAGGGAAAGAGTGTAAGCAGCCAGYAKGAAGAAGWCCCTCCTCTACTCTCTGAAGCGTGGRAAAACTTTGATAGGTTGATGGGAGCTGCGAGAGGACCAGAGGGACCTCAGCAAGAGATGGGGGTGAAGTTGGTCTTCGCAGACTTGCTCACGTTGAAGGGAGTAATGAAGGAAGGATTTGCAGCCGCACGAGCATCCGATCAGAAGATTGGAGAGAGGTTGACCAAGGTGGCTCAGAAGGCCTATGGTCAGAGGGTGGAATGGGAACAGGAGACTAGGGATCTGAAAGAGAATCAGGAGAGATAGGATCGCGAGTTGGATGCAATGAAGGTGGAGCTGGAAAAGGCTTGGGCTGGCAATGAGGCAATCAGGCAGGTGAACCAGACCCTCGACAAGGTCAACGAGGCTATGAGGGCCTACCTGCAGGCTCAACAGGCTTCCTTCCAGGCAAAGGAGGTAAAGTGGGAGAAGAGAATTAAGGAGCTGGAAGCGAAGCTCGAGCAGAGGGCTCCCACAACTTTGGTGGATTGGACTGAGGTCCAAGGATTTGAAATGAAGAAGCCACCTGCAGAGGAAGCCTTCAAAAGTCAGAAGGAGGAAGAAAAGGCTGATCTACAGGAAGGAGAAGATGTGCCACTGTTAGACAAAGAGATGTTACAGCCTCAGGAGGTGCACGTGGAAGAGAAAGCCAAGAGTGAGGAGTCTGAATGGCAGATGCCTTCCACCTTGGCACTCCAGCAGGCTCGCGAGGGACAGAATGTGACACAGCAGGCAGAGATGGAGAGAGATGAGGGGGCACTGCCTGTCAATCAGATGGTTGCTGAGGGGCAGATGGTCCAGGGGAGCGAGGTTGAGGCTGAGCAGAGAGTAGGCCAGGAGACTTGTCAAGAGTCTACCACGCCTTAGGATATGCCCTTGGCAGTAGGCTTGGAGGCGGCGTTGGGCTCATGGGCCACAGGGTCTGGTTCAGCAGTTCGAGCGAGTGGGCCAGTGAGACAGACAGAGGAGAGAGAAGCCTGCCCCACTCCATCTGAGACTCCCTAGCAGGAGGTTACGAGCGAAGTTACGACAGTTCCATCCTCAGTACTCTCGCATGAAGAAGAGAAGACGGCACAGAAGAAGCCTGGGAAGTGATTCTACTGCAAGAAGGGCAAACACTTCTCTGATGATTGCCCCAAGTTCTATGAGGATGAGGCGAGAGGGTTTGTTACCAGAGTATCCACTGGGATTTTGAGGRATAGGAATGGTAATTTGGTTGAGAGGTCTCGTGATGGTGGTAGGATGCAGTTGTACAGACAGATAGGTGAGGTGATGATTGACTAGGATTTGAATTTAGGGTCCGAAAAGGTCTAAACCTTGGCATGAGTAAAATATCTCTGACTCTCTACTGGTAGGTGATTGTATATAGGAGGACACATGGAGGATTGGATCACACCCATGTATATCAGTAGTGAGGGCCATTATTGAGATGTTACCGTCAATACTATAGACCTTCAGGACAGATTGTACATTAGATAACCTTGAGTGTGAGTTTGACTATCGTTTTTGTTCTTTCTTTGAGACTATGTACATTACGTGTTTGTGTGAGTTACATTTTCTTTCTTTCTCTTTCAGARTAGGATGTGTGAGACTTGTGTGAGCAGTGTGAGTGGTGTGCAGAGTGTGTCGATACTTGGACATTCRGGACTTTGACCTGTTCAGAACATTTTTGACTTCTTTGTATTATACTTTGATTCTTCTTTGAGTGTGACAGGGGTCTTGCCTATTTTGCAAACCCCATGTTCCTTGTGTATATATAAGACTCGGACTTAATAGAGATTTGTGTGGTATACTACGCTCACATCAATTGTGGACTTGCCCATGTATGCGTGACTTTTGTGAGATGCTGTTATGATGGCTTGATCTGCACTATCCTTTCTCTGAACTTAGGACTACCTGTCATTGTTACAGGTGAGGTACTAAGTACAGTTGAAGGAGAATACACATCACATGTGAGGAAACTGAGAGTCGAAATGAAATAGTGTTGTTGAATGGAAGGTCACAACTGAGAGTTCTGTCATTATGTGTGATTGAAATGTGAAAGGAACTCAATGGCCGGTAGAGTTCTTCCTGTACATAATTGGAATTCTGGCAATTATGGCGAAATTTTTGGAAAGGTGTCCCTATAAGACGTGTGACCTTGCCTGCCCTGATCAAAGCAAGGAAGGCACGACCTTGTGGAATTCTTTGTGGATTTGTGAGAAAAGCACTATCCCTCCACGTCGTTCCGTGGGCGGTTGGTATGTGATCCTTTGTGCATTTTGTGTGAAAAGAGAAGGCCAAACCACAAGCAGTCATTCTAAGGGACATATCATGTGAGGCCGGGCTAAGGGGCTATACTTAGCATCGTTGGAACTGTAAAACCTAACTCCCAGCAAGGGCCGCTGGCCGGCGCAACCTGGCAGCGGGACCATGGCTCACCAAAGGTTAAGTCCTGATAGGTCGGCTGCCTAGAGAGGTTTAACTAGAGGGAAGGTCATTGGGGTCGATGAGGTCAAGAGTCGGGACCCTTCGGGGTGCCAAGGAAAGAGAGATTTGCTTATCGTTGCGCAACCAACGAGGGCACTACCGCTAATACAACAACGCGGTAGGCCGTGGACTCGGTTTGATCAACCGTTTTGCGGTGGGCCAGGATGGGCGTTCCTTATGAGTGGATATTTGAACTAGTAGTACTTACCAATTTGGGGACTGAAGGTGCCCCGTATTTGAGAGAGGTCTCGGTTAGGGCCCGCGTCCTAAGTTATGACCCTGCTTGCAGGACGATGACTAAATAGGACACYCAACGGTGAGCCGGCAGATGTCTAAGGCAAAGGGAGAGGACTATCAAGCTACTACCTGGGAGCGGGCATTACGCTGTAGTACGGAACACAGTATCCCCAGAGTCTGAGGCCAGGACGTGGGAGACCCAGGTTGAAACCCTGGCAGTGGAACACCGTGACGGGGGTGGACTGATAGAATACCTCAAACAGAGTCAAGCCGGCTAACCGGATTGGTCAACTTCCTTGTCAGCAAGATGTGATTTGAACTTTTTATAAACTTTGATCTGACCGGCGCGACGGGGACGTCGCTTAATAGGGTCCGGAAAACTGTCGGCACCATTACCCTTACAAGGGTAATTGTGCGTGCTTCGTGCACCTCGCAGAAGGTGCGATCAAGATGATACTTGAGAAGATGGCATATAGGTCGGCCAGCCGCAACTGACTCTTGGAGGTTAGCTTGATTAGAGAGTGTGTGAGCATGCACTTTGTGGGCGTGCGTAAGTAGCTAGCCGTCGGCAGCCGTGGGAATTTTTTGACCAAGCCGCGTGGACCATTGTCCTGCGGTCACCAACGAAGTCACAGTCGGCATCGAGCTGGTCAGTAGGTTTACGGTGGTGAGGTTTCGTTGACTCGCTGAAAAACGGCGCCTTTGAGACTACACAGTAAGGAGGGTGTGAACACTAGAGCTCTGCTGAATACTAGCCAGAGGTCGGAGCCATCGGAGGAGTGAGAGGGAAGGCAAGGCGAACGGAGTCTAGTGGAGACCAGTGTCGTGGTTTTTCCGGCAAGGCGGCGATAAAAAGTTGGCTGCGGCAGGCTATGAAGGCCACATGCCACAATCACGGCACGTAGAGGCAACGTACGCTGTGAGTTGGGCGACACCTACCTTCGAGATAGCAGAGCACGACCCCACAAGGCCAAGGTGGAGGGGATAGGCCAGCACGGCACGTGTGCAGGGTCACGGGGTTGAAGGACAGACCAAGAAACGGCCTGGGGCACCACCTGCAGGCCCAGGCTGGTTGACGATGCAATTCATATACAGGGTAGCCCGCACCCAGTTCAGGCTTGAGCTTAGCCCTATAGGTTATATCACTGAATTTTCACCAAGCGGATCCCGGGATCGAGGCCAGCACCCAGCATTGGGGCAGCGGAGGAGCGTACTTGGGAGTGAACTGAGGGGTTGAGAGTCCCACGGGACTATCCCTTTTACTTTTGCTGAGGGGACCCGGCCGCGGGCCCGGGAGGTAGGACTGAAGACTAAGTACTAACGGTTCCCCTCCCCTATCCGTGTTTTTAACTTCTATTTCTAGAATTTTACTAATATTTTTTTTTATGTTTCCCATTCGGGATGGGGGCCGGCACTGGTCTATGGGGCCGGCTGGAGCTCAAGAGCCTAGCTCGGTGGGTACTCCATTGAACTGCTGAAATACCGATCCCACCGTGGAACTGGTTTTATGCAGCCTCATTGTGGTTTTTTCTATGGACCTTCGGGACATCAATAAAATAATAAATATATATATATTTTAGAACCTTGTGAGGAAGACCTCAATTTAGCCGACCTCAAAATCCACATATTTTGCAGGTTCGGGGTCGCAGTACGAGCGTGGCGTGGGGACCAGAAAGATGGTGAACTATGCCGGGGCGGAGGGGGGGCGCAGGCCGCAGCGGCCGGTCACATAGGACCACTCCCCACGTTGGCCTTTGGCAGTTCCCATGTGAACATCTGCTTTTACCTTTAGGATCCGCGACGTGGTGGAACAGGCCTGGGCAGTTGTGGCCAGAGGATGCACCGCCCGCTAAGCTCAGCCTGCGGCGAGCAATGAGAGGTATGAATGTGAGCCTACCTGCAGGGAACCGTGAGACAGTGAACTGTAACTGGCAGGGTGAGGACCAGCAGGCACCAGCGCAGAGGCCGTATACCGCTGGTCACATAAAACCGCTCCCCGTTTGGCTGTTTTATTTTATTGTCTATTTTATTATTTTTCTATTTGTTCGTTACATATATACCCTTTTGTCCCAGGTTGGGACACAGCCCAGGTGCTGGTTCTGGGGTTGGCAAGGGTATCAATAGGCTTAGTTCAGTTGGTACATGTCGAGCTGCTGAAGTACAGGCCTGAGTTGGAGCTCTGCTGAAAACAGGGGAGCAAAGCACTATGACCCTGTTTTTTTTGTTTTTTTTTGTACTAAGCTCCAGACGTGATGGCTGCCACATTCATTCAAATTTTGTTAATATAACACTCTTGCGAATATACCCTCAGTCCAGACATTCAGTTTTTGTTACATAACCTTCAGCACAATTGGGGACTAAGGGGTAGTCTGGATTTGTTAGAATAAGGAGAGGCATAGAGTGCCACGAGGCTGGAGTAGTGTGGGTAGGAGAGTATAAAAAGGTGGGAGTATCGCCTGCAATTTTTTTATGGAGGGATTGCGGTTTCTCCCATTGGTAGCAATTTGAAACGGTGGGCTGCGTTAGGAGCAGGGTCAGCGAGGAGGGAGAATGAGGAGGAAGTGAAGAGGATGAAGATAAAGACGGGGATGGAGAAGAAAGGGGGAGAAGAAAATTGAAAATGATCTAGTTCGC